GCGCATGTGTCACGCTGGCTTCATTCTGGTCGCAAAAAAACCGACCAAAGTTTTCGGTCTCGAAAATCTGGAAGTGGCAAAGTTGGTCGAGAAGGTTTAGTCGCGTTGTCTCTGCTTCGGTCGCTAAGACGATAGTAAACTTAACCATTTTTGACCGTAAACAGGTGGTCTTATGATACAATCATGAGGTTATATTTTGCACAAATCAATGGGTAATAAGATTTCTTTGCCGCAATGGAAAAATGATGAGGTTGATTTTAGTTTGAACAAAGCATGCCGAATAATTTGAGATCGAAATTAGTTTTGAAAAAGTATGTAGAATAATTGATGAATATTAGGATATATTTAGGTCAACTTTTAATTATTCAATTTTAATTAATCCTTATTCTCAGCTAAAAACCTTGACTTAACAAATTAATTTGAAAGCAACATAATTTAATTTTTCCGGTTTTAATGCCTTTGTTTTCGAGGGATTTGAAACAGATTTGAATCGAATTTAATCATAATTTTTCTTATAAATTACTTTTGAATCTTTTGAATGAACAATACCAGACGCTTTGTTACAATTTTGATACCACTCTCAATTTATTCGGACTCAAACAGGTATACAGTTAATTATTTTTCTTTCTGTTTTTTGTGGCACATTTTTGAGCCCCAAATCTAATATTACGTAGATGATTTTTGTACGACTTTGATTGCTTAATTGCGACCTAAAAATTTGATTTATCTGAACCATATAATTAAGCAATATTTCCACGCGATGTTTGATTTAACAAAACTAGCAATCCCGTCGCAATGAATCAATCGGCTCGCAAAAATTAGTTGTTCTAACTAAGCTAATCAAACAATGAAACGTTGAACAATTTCAAGTTACTCGATATCGTGAATCCATTTGCTCAATTGAAATTTTTGAGACAAGCTATAAATTCGAGCAATCGATTCGAGTTGTTTTTTTAGTGAGCCAATCAGCAATAGATTGTTTTTCTAAGTAGACCTTTCAAAAGATGAGACTTTGAAAAATAAAAAACTATCAGTGACCAGATCGATTCGAGAATATTTTAATGTTTTCCAGAGCAAGCTTCTCAAGCGATGAATCATTCGATTATTTCAAAAAAACTTCATAGCGCAAACCAGGTTGCAGGAAACTTATATTTATCTGAATAAAATTTCATCGCGTTGAGAAAAGCAAAAATTTTACGGATTCTCTAGGAAGCTTTTGAGCGATGAAAAATAGCTGCGTTTGAGGTTGTTTTATAGAGCTTGAAGCTATTTGCAAAACTCAAGTTTTTCCAGCAAGCAAATGAGAGATGGAACATTTTAAATTGTTTTCGAAGCTTGAATCGGTTTTTCAAAAATTAAGAACAAGAGTCAAGCAAGCTATGGAGTCGTGAAAAATTGAAACAATTCAGTTGTTTTCCATAGCTTGGGTTGTTTTGTAAGAAAATGGTTTATTTTAGCAAGCTATTGAAGCGATGACCGTATGAAGTATTTCTGAACTGTGTCGCTTCAAGTAGATTGTTTGAAAAAAATCTGTTCGCAAGATCAGCCAAATTTATATTTTTTCACCAAGAGTTATTGATTCAATCGATGTCACTTTAAATGATTCAAAGTAATTTAGTTTGAAACGAGTCGCAACCTTTTGCTGAGTAAGCCATTTTAACAATGAAATGCTTGAAAACGATTTGCAAAAGTCAGCAATTCTCAGGAGGCCATTCAAAGGTTGAAACTCTTGAAATCTTCAAAGATGTATTAGAGCGTCAATCAATTACTGCAAGTTGATTCTTCTAACCAAGCTGATCGAGCATTTATTGTTGTTTTGAAGCACGGTATTGATCAAAACAAATTTGAATTAATTCAAATTTTTTTATAGCGTGAATCTAGTATCCGCATATAATTTTTTAAGCTAAACTATGATTGTAATCAAAAAAAACTTGGAACAATTCACGTTGGTTTCGTAGCTGAAAAAATTCTTGAATAATTCAAGCTGTGAGGCAGTAAGACTCAAAAAAAATTTCAAATTCTTTCAAAGAGCGAAACGGTTAGCAGCAATTTAACGGTTAGCCTGAACAAATTCTTAGACATGTTCTTATAAAAAATCGGCGCGACCTATATGAGAGTATGATCTACGTTAGTCGACTCTTGAAAATTAAGTTTTTTCAAGAAGCTATTCAAGAGACTCAATTTCGAATTATTTCTGGTTGTTTCATGAAGGAAGTAAAAAATCTGTGCACACAAAAATCCAGTTTGAACATGGACAAAATCTCTTTTGGTTATAGTTGAATTAATTTCATCTTGTCTAAAGCGTCGAATTTGTCAAAAGAAATTCTATAATCTTCTTGACCTTGTTTGAACTGTGAGCCTCAGAAGTTTTCATAAACATTGCGCAGATTTAAAAGATTGCGTTCAGTTGAACATTTTGTCCATAGTGCATTACCATTTTCAATTAATATATAAGATGAGCAGAAAAAATTTTAAAATAAAACAGAATCGAAGGTTTAATGAGTATTGAAAAAATCTTGTTAAATAATTGTTAAAATCGTGTTGAATGATTGTTCGCGCTCGACAAAAACTTTTGATTATGATTTTTGCTGCTCGATGCAAACAATGTTGATATTTTGAAAGAAAAACATTGGAAATGCCATAGAAACTGGCAAAAGAATTACATTTTGAAAATCAACTCTAGGATAAAAAGAACAGTCAGGAAGAAAATTTATTGAACTTAAAGTTAATTTTGCGAAAATGTACATTGATGGCAAAATTTAAACAAAATCATAAATTTTGTAAATTTTACCGAAATTTGTTGAAATTAATATTGTTGAGTCAAATTAAAGGCAAAAATAGGTTTATATATAATAATTGATTCTTGAGAGAGCAAGTTTGCTCAAAATTTTTGGAGCGACCGAGAGCAAATGATTTCAGGCACCTTCTTTGAAACAGTAAGAAAAAACGGTTTCAATTACTTATCCGTTTTTTTGTTTGCATGGAAATCTCCTTTTTTTCCATTGCAGGAAGATTTCACCAGCTGGAGCTCTGAACAAACCCAACTCAGATGACCCACAAGATAATGATAAGTACTGGAAAGCTCTTGTTTTTTAAATAAAAGCTTAGATCTTTTGTTCTCAGTCTTTGTAAAAGTTTTGCATAAACGCTCATTAAAAGTTACTTAAAAACTACTTTATTCAAAGCATTTTGAATAGTGGCAAATACTAAGTTTGCGGGAAAATTTTTACATCAGTAAACCATCAGTAATGTTTATGTTGGACACAAAAAGGTGTATCGAATCTTTTCGGAAAAAAAACTTGTAGCAGCAGCAAATCTTGGGTTATCAAATGATTTTTATTCAATTCATAAGAACAATTGACGTTTAATTTAAAATCATATTTTGATTATATACGTTTTTTTAAAAATTTTCAGTATTTATTTGGCATCAATTTATTTAGTTTTCCAAAACAGCTACCAGCACGACAACTAGTTTTTGTTTAATTTGATCGAATGAGACTGATGAAGTGTACAACCGGTAAAATCTTAAGTTGTCTTCAAAAATAAACATCTTTAAACTTAAAACTATCTCCAATTGTCAGTTATAAGTTATGCTCATTGTTCAAGGCTTGAGGGTGAGGCAACATTACCCAGCCCAGAAAAAAAGCAAAAAAAAAACACCAAAGTTGGGACAAAGCAGCGGTTCTCTGTGAAGAGCTGAATAGCTCGTATATTTGTTGTTGTTCCGACTTTCGTAACAAAATTAACAAAATAATTGTGCTCGGGGTAGTTTTTTGCCACTTTGGCCAAATTGGGACAAAGATTGCCATTTTGGCCAATTCGGAACAATTAAAGCGCGATATATTTTGCGCTATTAACGCGTAAGCGGAGACTTGATCCGTCTTAGAAATCGTTCCAAATTGGTTGAAGGAAACTTACTTGCAATAATTGATTTGTTACTAGGAGCCAATATTATCACTTTGTACTGTACTTTATATGGCGTGTGGGGGTATAATTTTCACAAAAAATCTGAAAAAAAAATTATTTTATTTCTATTACACTTATTTTTTTCAGGCTTTTACTGCTTTATAGACCTTAAAAGAAAGTTAAAACTCTCAGGGCTTCGCCCTGATACGAGAAGTCTTGTTTTCCCTCGTGGATAAATGGTCAAACTACTCAGTATGAAAACTATTATTCTGTCTGGCGAAAGAGACATTAATTTAAGAAAAGGAACTAAATAAATTAAAGGTCTTACATCTACTAACAAAACAACAAAATGAAAACAAAGCTTGTCAATATCCTGCACCAAAATTTTCAGTTTTGATCTATGATTTTTTTCCAATATTAGATGGAAAAATAATCGTTATGATTGAAGTCTCAATAAGTTGAACGGTCAACGCAAGTTTAAATAAGCATAGATTTTTTCCTTAGCTTGAAAGTTTATGACAGCTTATGAACCACAAAATGCCAACAAAAAAAACTTTTCGTTTTTAACGATCATTTCAGATGCATTTAATTTTCATATTTTATATCGATTTTAAAATACCGAAAATTATTAAAAGCATGCAAATGGGTCGGTTATACCGAAACATGCTGATGGTGTTCTTCCAAGATGGGATGTTTTATTTTTATGGGTTGTGTAAATATTAACCGAAGTCTGTTCCCTTAATTTATTTTTATTATGTATTAAGAATACGACGTTTTTTAAAGCTCGAAAATGGTATCTTTTTTGAAATGTCTTAATGCAATATAAGTGAAGGCTAAAAAGGCTTTTATGGCACCACTTTCAACCTGTGCTTTTCATCGAGCATCTGATACTGAGGAGAACAAGATCACAACTGGGCCATACTTTCTCCTTGTGAAGTTGTATGCTCTTCTAAAGATACAATTTAAAAGAACGTGAGCGAATCGGACCATCAAAGTTATTTTATGATCGGACAGGTCTTGTATACATAATTTCAATGCCAGTTAGTTTTGAAATCAGCGCCATATGCTGAAGCGCTCTTTAAAAAAATGGGAATAGCTTTTTATTTCGAAAATATAAATCGTAATAATCATATTGCAGAAAAATTAAAATGCACACTATTAATTTTACAAAACTTCCAAACTTGGGCAATGAGAATGGAAGTTTGACTACAGTTTCAGAGTTTCAAAAAATATTCGGTTGGCAAATTTGTAATTTAGAGACAGTTTCTGCATAGAATCGCATTGCAAAACTCTAATTATGCTGTCTTTTGTGCTAGGCAACAATAGCTTGGCATGTATCCCAATTTAGTGGTTAATTACATAATTACATCACTATGGTTAATTACAGCGTATAACTAGTTAGTTGACAAAGCCCTGTCCGCAGGCGTTCTGCTGGGCCTCGGGGTCTATGATGCCCTGGTAGGCGGAGTCGGGGTCCTTGATGAGGGGTGCGTCTAGGATGATAGTACAAGTGCCCACAACACAGATGATGACGAACACCCACAGGAACAAACGGTCCACGACCATCGCCACATACTTCCAGTCTTCGGAGACCTAGCCGAGAAAAAAATGGAAATATCGTGAGCCAAGTTGAACAAGTTCACTCGCTGATGTACAACTAGCACAGAATGCTACTGTCATGTATACATCTATCATAGCAAAAAAAAACTAAAAAAAAAAACTAGCGAAAACAAACTGGAGCAAATCTTTTTAAAAATTGAGTTCATAACCAGCGGGTGTATGCAATTCTGTTGGCACTATTTTACAGCACGCAACTTTGGCCGACATTGGGCACATAAATTGTTCTGAGGGCGCCCTGATTGTCAATACGTACCAAATTTCAGGGCAAATGGCCAGCCCAAAAACGCATTTTTGTCAAAACCTTGGCATGGCGTTTTTGGCACGTTTTTTTTCAAAACTTTTCACGCGACAAAATTGGCCGACAAAATATTGAAATTCCTTTCATTTAAAAATCCGTAAATAACAGAAATATATGAGAATCAAACGTAAATACTGGAACAAAAAGAAAGGAGATAGAATATAGTTACACTGTTGAATTCATCTTCATTCTTTAAATGTTGTGCAATGTATTGTACGCCCTCAATGGCTCTTTTGATGTCATTTGAAAGCGACACAGACGTCTGATTGGCACCCCCGCCGCCGCCGCCCGTTGCACCCCCTTGAGCCCCGCCACTTCCACTCTGGCTCTGATGATTCATTCGCTGGTGGATTCCGACGGGAGAAAAGGAGTTCGACAGACCTCCACCTGGATTTATCTGGATGTCATCTTCCGTTATGAAATCATCGTGATGTCGCATTGCGTACTTGCTGCTATTGGCGTTCCTTCTAGCCAATGAGGCAGCGCCACTTGTTGAGTTCTGATTGGCTAAATTGTTTTGGTGCATGTCAGTCGAGTTGAAAAAGTCGTTTGGGGTTGTTAGAAGTCCCCCGTTTCCATAGTACGAACCGCCGACCGGGTTTGATATGTGCGCGTTCGTATTATGATTCACGCCGGCTGAGAGAACATTATTGGTTGCCGAGTAATTTGTGGATGTGGCGTTTGAAGGGTTCGGATTTGGGTTGACGGGGCTGAACAAAGTGTAGCCCGAGGGAGCATTGTTATCCTGTTTTTCGGGCTGTTTCATAAGCAGAAGTTTAGGCAAGTAGTTCAAAAATACAGTTTTCACCCAACCAGGCATCGTATGTGTGCTAGGAACTCTATGATGTACGTTTAGGACTACAACTGTTATTATAATTGACAAGGTAACCATAACCATTGTGAAAAGTAAATAGTTTCCGATCAGCGGGACGACCAACGATGTTGCCGGAATTATTTCGGCGATTAGGAGTAAGAAGACAGTGAGAGCTAGAAGCACAGAAATGCAAAGTGTCACTTTTTCACCACAGTCGGAGGGTAGATAAAACACTAGGACTGTCAAAAATGAAATCAAGACGCAAGGTATGATTAAATTGACTGTGTAAAACAGAGGCTTCCTTATCAGCACAAACTGGAAGGTAACATCGGTATAGTAAGTGTTGCCGCAACACGACGAATACACGATCACGTGTTTGAATCCAGGGGCATCGACAAGTTCCCATTCTCCATTCTCGCTATACCCCCTTTTATCCACAGTCAATCTTCGCAGGTAAAGGTCAACTAGTTTAGCATCGTATGTCCAACTTCCAAACTTCATTTTGCATGTTTGCATGTCGAACGGAAAGAACTTGACATCTATCTCGCAGGAGCTCTTGTATATGGCGGGAGGGGTCCACTCGACTTGACCTTGGTACCTTACGAGCGCTTTCGTGCGCAGGGTCACCTCGTATTGGCCGTCAGCACTGAAAACCAAAAACATCATTTCAAAACAGAAACTAACACGTTTCTAAATTCTCATACCATATTGCTGTTGGAAAAGGCAACTTCACAACTTTTTGTTTATTTTTCGGTTAAAGCTATGAGGGCAGCCAGGGGTGGGGTGTTAAAAATATATTATGAACGCCAGATTTTTCTAGAGCATTTCGATGGTTTCGACGGCTTTGTTTAAGTGGTCTTAAGTTTTTTATTCAGATTGGCTTAATAAAACTTCTTTAAGTTCTTTAAATAGCAAAACTCATGGGTAATCTACTTTCAACAATGGGTCCTCAAAGTTCTCAAAGTCAGTAAGTCAAATTTGACAGAATTTGTTTTTAGGAAAACGCGGCATAGGTAAATGTTTTGCTAAAGAAAGAAACAACGGATTTGTTTCTCTGATAATGCTTGGAGAACATATAAAACTCAATCTGTGAATTGTGTGCTCCCGGTTCGACAACAACTTATCAGAAAATGCTTGTGAGAAAATGCTTGTCATAGAACTCCTTACATGGAGTCTATGGTAAGAATAACCATCGCCCAGTTTCTCTTTATGCTAATCACGCTGTTTTCTTAGTTTTTTTTCTGCATCGATGGAATGCTATATATTGAACTGTATGATGAATATTCAATGCTGGATATTTATACAGGCGGGTTGGTTATGTTATTTACTTGTTGTAGAGGACTATGTCTGGCAGCCAGAGCCAGTTGGAGGGCACCCGGATGCTGGTGATGTTGTCATAGTCTTCTGGATCCCACTTCAAGTTAATATCGGTCCAGTTCTGAAACAGAACATATCAAACCATCGACAACATACAACACCTCAAAATGGATCAAGTTTAATATAATTCCGAATATAATTCCGAAATAAATTTAGTATAATCCGAAATACTTTCCCGACCATTTTGTCCGCCTTGCCTTTTTTATGTCAACCAAATCGACTTTCCGACCTTTCTCAAATTTTCAAGTGATTTTGACTCATTGTGCCAACAGTTTCAGGACTACACCTTTACTACTGGAAAAATGTACCAAAAAGGCATTTGTGGAACCTTTGAAAGATTTTGATAAAATGCAGCTTTTTGGGCGCGTGCAAATCTGCAAGTTTAGGACGCATTGGCGCCCAAGAAACGTTAAAACTTTGAGGCTGGTCTCTCATAATTAGATGGCCTGAAATAATACCACCAGGGGAGGGGTTTCAGTTTCTGATAAAGCAAATAGAGATCCGCCTACTCTCATCTTAATCCAGCTGCTGAAAAAATTGAGAGATGCATATGAGTGATTGGATGATGAGAAAAGCTTTTTGCACTTTTTCTGCAGCAAACCTATGACAAATCAAAGATAAATTTTGGCTCTTTTGCATTTCCCCTCATTCAAAAAATCAATTTTTATTTTTGTATAATGTGTTATTACGGCTAACGGCGTGATGTTACGAAGTTTAGTAAGAAGAACAAATCTGTTCACAATTGTCAATTTTCATAAACTGGGAGGGGGTTTAGAAGAGGTGATGGAGTTCACGTTGACTAACCTCCCCCCTCTCTCCGTTTAGCCATCCCCCTTCAACCAATAAATACCACCGCTCAACCATTGAACCCCCCTTACTTGAAGGTGGGGGGGGGGGAGTGAGGGGAAATGGTGAATTGCAAAGGTGAGCAAATGGTGATTTTTCCATGGCGACAGTGCGACGGTAAAAACACTTGCATAAAATGTTTAACTACCAAACTGAAAATGTAGAGAAATTTCAAAAATATACAGTTTCTTGTTGAAAAGAAAAAGTTTATGAAACGTAAGGCGCAGCAACTGCACATAATAGGAAATGAGATATTTTTTTTCGAAAACTTTGCTATTTCCATCAATAACCTCTGAAAACATTATAATCGATTATAAACGATTATAATGGTTAAAAATGTTGGTATTATAATCCATTTTTGATCAACTTTTGTAGGGTATATTTGAAATGTATTGAGACTGACATTGAAAAACTAATATATTCGATTACTATCTATGAAACTCCGGTGCAGGCAAAACTTTAAGGCTAACATGAGCTAATATAAGTTATATTGCTTCTACTGACTCTTGTTTTTTTTTGGTTTTTTTTAATATTAATTTCTCGAAAATTTTGGGCTGCGTTCGTATTCGAACACAAGTGACAAAGATCTTGGGTTACTCAAAATTAAATTCATCGAAGGTTCGACCGTCTTGAATTTACAATGCACTGGAAACGAATTTTCTTTAGTTTGTTTTTCAGTCTTTCACATATGATATAATGAAAAAATCAAATTTCGCATGTTGACAAAAATTCCTAAAGATGATCATTTTAAAATTAAATATTATGTTTAATCAGGCATTGATCAAGTCAATATAAAAATGACGTGCAATACAAATTCGATGACACCACTATAATGATGAAACAAATTTTATGAAATTTATATAATTAGTTTTTTCCTAGACTCGGTTTATGGAATTGTTTGATTAGATTTTTTGGTCTATAGAGGTCAACCGATTCAGTCTGTTCGCATTTTGGGTCTATTTTCAGTCTCAATGTAACAACGGATTTAGATCAAAATTTACAAATTCTTGCTTTATTCAAACATTTCGAAAAAATTCTGACCGGAAGTTTAGATAACAAAAAATCGACACACACAACCCCACACACAGACACACAGATTCATATCACACAAGCATTTAGGCATAGAAAAAAAATTGATGGGCTTAAAGCCCTTTGAATTTAAAAAACAGTTTAAGATTGACACGTTTTTGATAAAATTAACCCAAATTAAAAAGTTTGATCCATGGGTAAAACTTTGATTTCGCTGGAAAATTCGATAGAATAATTCCATTTTCGAAACCAAAAGTCAATCACCTTTTTCCTGAACTTTACAATTTTGCTGCTCGATAGCGGAGTTAGCGTTCCATTTAGCAAAAAAAAGTTACTTGAACTTAAAAATAAATCAAAAATCAAACCGCAAAGAAAATTAATTGTGAGCCTGAACAAATTTTAAAACTTTTCCTGAAAAAAAAAACAAAAAAAAACGTGATCTATATAAGAGACTGAACTACGTTCTTCGACTCTTAATGAGACCGCTCGCTCACCTTATTCACTCGAAATAAGACCGAAAGCTGCTTTTCTCAATACAGGGATAAATTTTTCAAATTTTTTTGTCGTTCGAAAGACGACTTAATTGGCTGTAATATGATATATCATTCGACCCCTTCCGATTTTTATTTGTGGTACCTGATTTCGGGCGGAAAACAAGAAAAAAATATAAGAAAAAAGAAACACACTAGAACACAAAGTTCCTCCTGATTTTCAATGGTGGGACAATTATTACTCTCCTGGAAATCTGAAAGGGGGAGGAATCAAATCTTTTAGTTCGGTCAACAAAATATTGATGGAATAGTTCTTAAAAAAATCTTCTTTTTCCAAAATTTCAATTAAGAATTTCGACAATTTGGAGTAATTCAACCAAACTTTTTCAAGCAAACTAACGTTTTTCTAGTAACAATTTTTGTTCCGGACTCTAAGGAAGCAGCTTCAAAATTACTTCTAATGCTCAATTGATCCGATTACTCCTTGTTTGCCTTGGAACCTAGTAAGAACAATTCATACTCTGAATTTTGGTCGTAGTTTGATCAAAAGCGAAAAAAAAAACGAATTAGTAATCAGAGGCGAAGCAGTGCTTTGCATCAGCTGTGGTGCGTTTTTTCGGGAGTTGAAAAATTGGATAAAAAAAAATTTAAAATAATTCATTCTGTCATTATTCATGGAATCTGATTTTTCGTGGTACGAATTAACCTCGAGATCCGGATTTTCCATCTCGAGATCCAGGTATGATGTTAATCTAAGAAAACTTATCGGTTTTGTTTGCAGAGTTTTTCAAAATCTACCACGGTTAACGTTGCTTTATAAATAGCGCATTGCAACGACTTTTTTTTAGTCTGAATCGAATAAAAAAAAATAAAAAAACTGTTCTGTTGTATCAGAATCCAAACCGGGAGAAATTTAAGAAATTAAAAGAAAGTGGACTTCAGAAACAAAATGAAAACTACTTCAGAAAAAAAATTATTTTCTATATGTGCGCAAAAAGTAAAAAGTCATTTTTTCCTAAATAAAATTTTTACCGCCGGCAAAATTGTGAGAAAACAGGCTACTTTCTCAGCATTGATAATTTTTATTCCCTATTTAGGAGCAGTGCTCTCATTTGATCTCCTCCAGTCTTTCAGACTTCCGAAGCTTGATCACTCTCCGCAGCAAAAAGCTGTATCTAACTGAAATTCTGGTCTCAATCAAAGAAACGGCCTTGAACCGTAAAATGAAAATTTGCCCATCAAAAAGCTCTCATTCTAAACTGTGGTAAGAATACTAGGATCGGAATATCGATAGACAGACAAACTTATCTTTAAATAGATCTTCTGCGACTCAAGGACAGAACATTTTTCAAACTCAAAGGTAGCTTTTGAAACTTAAGTACGGCGCTTAAAAATTTTTTTGAATAAAGGAAAAGAGCGAGCAAAACTTTCTAATCTAAACCTGACTAAGGATAGTTTTAGTTCTTTTGCTACATTGACAGATTTTTCAACCTAAAATTATTCATCACAATCATCATGAAAAAGAATGAAGAAAAACGAAGTAAAAAATCAGAAACTAATGCATAAAATTGAGATTTTCAGATTCAAATTTTTTTGGGGGGAGGGGAGGATATTTATTGTTAGGGATTGACTTTGAGCAATCGAAACTTTTTCACAGTCTTATCCATCGTAATAAGCCGGCGGAGTTAAAATACGCACCCGATAAAGTACTCCGGAGAAATTAGCAAGTCTGAATTTACCAAAAGGGCTAATTATACACTTTTCATATACGCAAAAACGCAATTCATACATTTTCATGCATTTCCATAAGTTAAAAAAAATTGCAAGAAAGGTCTATGATTAATGATTTTTCATATACGAAACTTGCATAACTATCATTTTTCCATAAACCAAAAAATTTGATTTTCTCAAAAAACTAATTTCTCAAAATTTAGGGGTTGTGTTTGCGATTGTGGCTTACTCAAAACGAGATTCTCCAAAGTTTTGGCAGGTTTTTGGCAAGGTCTGCGTTCACATGCATTGGAACTGGCCTGACTTGTCTTAGAGTTTTCTTAGACATACAAAGAAGTGAAACTATCAAAATTTTAATTTTTGGCAAACTTCAAAGATGATCATTTTAAAAAAAAAAGGGTTTTTAAATAATGAGGCGTTAATCAAAGCATACATAAATCTGCCATACAAAAGAAATAGGCATTTTAAGCGTTTTTAAAAATAGTGATCCAGAGAAACGAAAAAAATTTTTTTGTGCTTGTCCAGGATTACGCTATGTGAACAACAAATTAAATGCAAAAAAAAATTGGAAAACATTTGTTCGAGGACAAAATTCAATTTGAAGTTAAGAAAAACTTTCAATCAAAAAAATGCTTGTCATAAAATTTCAAATATGAAAAATGTATGACTATCAATTTTTTGAACAAAACTGGTTCAGTTTTTTTTATGACAATAAACCAGTTTTAATTCCAAAACAAGATGTTCTGTCAAAATTTGATGGAATGACACAATTTTAGCAAATTTTATGAAACTTTTATGACTAGTTTTTTTTGCATAGACTCAGTTTATGGAATTCAGTGACTAGCATTTTTGGTCTTTGGAGGTCAACCCGGGGGTACCACAAATGGTAGGTATGCAGAACTTAAAAGATGGTAAACTCAATTCAGCTTGAATCCTCAGCAAAAAATGCCGACTTTCTACATTT